GTCTCTGAAGAGGCCTGCCTGGATGAGAATGGCTTTGGAGACGTATTTCCAAGGGTGTCTTGGATTTATTTTGCACTTGAGATAGAGACCAAGTGGAGTAGAACATGAACTGTCCAAGGGAGAGGATAGAAGAAGGAGAGGAGAAGGAAAGGAAAGGCCACAGGACTGAGGAGGAATACATGGCCTTGCCTCATCTGGAAGAAAAGTACTAAAGGCCAGAGCAGAACCTGGGAAGAGAAAACCAGAGATCATGAGAGCCCCCCAGGCTGATGGGTGGGGACAGACTTGTAAGTAAGTAGTGACTTGAGGGTAAGAGTGCTTCCTCTCTTTATTATAGTTAATCTTTACCTCACAGAATTTATCTCACAATTAAAATGGTTTTGTGTCAATTGCAGGGGAACAAAGATTTGACACATCAGTTTTCCAGTAGCCGTCCTTTCCAGTCAAGAATCTTCTCAGAGGCATGGCTGTTGGCAAACCCCAGGTCCTTGGAGCTGTTGCTCACTGGTGGCAAGCCAGTTCTGGAGCAAACTTCTACTGGGGTCTGAAGTCTAGTACTGGTCTGGCCATCCAAGGAAAGGAGAAGGGTAGCTCCTTCATATTTATCTTGGGAGCCTTTCCTACCACAGCCTGCTCCAGGCCCTTCATGGGAAACCTTTGTGGAGATTTTGTTTTAGGTCTACGGAAAGGTTTTTGGTTGTGGAGTTTTTCTTCCTCTTAGGAACTGCTGCTCTTTGTAAACAGCATGGGGCCAAGTAACTCCATTTACCCTGTTTTTTCTTTTTGGACTGCATGAAAATAAGTGGGAAGTGTAATTGTTTATTTTCATTTATATTTATTTACTGTCTGATTTTGTTTGTTTGAGACCAGGATTCTCTTTGGCTTTGGCTGACCTTGAATTTAGAGAAATCAGCCTGACTGGAGTGTTGAGATCAAAGGTGTGAACCACCACACCAGCTCCAAGACCAAATTCTTTGCCCATGCTATAAAGATTTCTAAATTTCCATAATCATCCCTACTTTTTATATCTTTATGTTCTTTATGTGCTTAAAAGAACTTACAGTCTTTTGGGAAAGAGGCATGACTATTCTCCAGACGAAGAGGGAGTGAGGAAAGAGCATAGAGGGGACCTTCATCAAAGGGTTAAGATAACTAAGTATGACTTTTAAATTTTCTGCAGTTTATCAGCAGCAGCTAGTGTCAGGTAACCTACATATTTGTGCATTAATTTCCTTTGTTCCTTTTTTATTTTGTGCCTTCATGAGTATTTCAGCCTTAGCTGGTTATGGAAATAATCCACAGTCACTGTTAAAAACCTGCCAAGCATAAAACCATAGATAGGAAAAACACAACAAAACAAAACAAGCAATCAGAAAAAAACTCCACCAGTGACCCCATTATTTGGCTACATGGTTAGCTTCCCCCCCTTTTTTTTTTTACTGTTTTATTTTTATTTTTATGTACTTTTTGTTTATTATAATTTATTCACTTTGTATCCCAGCTGTAGCCCTTTTGTTCACTTTTTATATCAGAAAATAAAGTAGCATGTATTTATAGAATATTTAAAACATAGAAAAATTGACTATAAGAATGAATAGATGTTAATGTTGATGTGAATTTCCACAAGAGATTATACTTTTTAAATAGAAGGTCTTTTCTTAAAGTAGACCCAGCAAGTGAATAAAGCCAGGAAGGAGGCGGGAGCAGTAGGGAAGTGGGATTAATCTAGTTAAACGCTCAGTCTTGGCAAACCTCATGGTCACACTGAGAAACAGGAGACAGGAAGTGACTCAGTTGTATTAATAGAGGGAGCTAAGATGAGCCAGTGGGATGAAGAAGTGAATGGCATCTTTTAAGTTTGGGAACGGGTGAGGGTAGCCAAAGCTGAAAGCTCTAAATCACTTAAATAATAGGAGAAATTAGTTTTCAAATCTTGAACACTGTAATTAGCCTTGTGACCAATACAGTCTCTCCGGATTTTGCGTTTAGGCTAGGAGACATCACATAAACCTTTTGACATTGGGACAAGATATGGTTTACAAATGTGTCTCCACTCAAGAGTGATACCATGCCTTTAATCTCAGCACTCATAGGCAGGTGAATCTTTGTGAATTTGAGGCCAGCCTTATCTACAAAGAGAGTTCCAGGACAGCCAAGACTGTTACACAAAGAAATCCTGTCGGTCTCAACTGCCCCCTGCCTCTAACACACACCCGAAAAGAGTTTTTGTAAATAATTTTCGTTGCTGTGTGAGAATTTGAGAAGAAATTCCTAACACTCCTCTTTTATTGAGTCTTGGAGAAGACATTGAATGACACAATTAACTGCTCTTTTAAAAGGTGATGGCTGGTTGTAGATTTGGAAGGGTGGGCTACAGAGGGTACCAAATACTTGTGCAAGTTTCAGGACCTCAGCCTTAGGGTAAGTCTTTTATCTTTCAGGTCAGACCTGTCAGGCTGAGGCAATAGTGTCCACATAGAAGGCTCTCTGTGGAATGGAATGGAGGCTGGAAAGCCTTGTTGATACCCTGTGGCAAATTAGGCTTAGCAAACACTTCACATACTAGCTTTGTGCGTGGGACCTTCTATGTCCTGCTACATTCGAAAGCCACCACTTGTTTGTTTAGAAGTGGGGATAGCGAGGTTCAGTATTTGGGAATGTAGCACTCCAGCTGCCATGATAATCCTTCAACTTTAACCCTGTATGTCTGATGACAGCAGTGACCTATCTCTATTAACATGCCCAGTATGTTGGTATATCTCACTGTCTGGGGTAGACTGGTGTTCTTTTGATGGTTCTCAGATAGTGTCAGTATTCATGATGCTGGCATCTTGGAACAGTTCACAGAGAAGACAGAGAAGGATGTATGGTACCAGAACAAGAAATATTTATTTAGGACAAGCCTACCTTGGAAATGTGTGTGTGTGTGTGTGTGTGTGTGTGTGTGTGTGTGTGAGAGAGAGAGAGAGAGAGAGAGAGAGAGAGAGAGAGAGAGAGAAAGAGAAAGGTGGGGCGGGGTGGGGTACATTTGTTGCATGAGAGCATGCTGTAGTTAGAGGACCACCTCAGGTATTTTAAGTTTTAGACTGTTTTATTTTGTTTGTTGTTTGCTGCTGAGCAGGACAATTTAGCCACATTCCAGGGATTCTCCTGTCTCCATCCTTTCTCCATCTTCCCTCTGGAGCACTGTGATTATAAAAGACATATGCTACTATGCCCATCTTTGCATGGGTTCTGGAGCTTTGAGGAACTCATGTGTCTGTGCTGAGTGTTTTTACCCACCAAGCCATCTCCCCAGCCTGGAAACAAGATTTTGATAGGATTAGCCCTGTGAGAACAATCATAGTTTCTTAGCTCTAATTACTTTGCTAAAGGGAACTTATTTCATGTTGACATTTAGTTCAGTTATGTCAGTTATTTAGTTAATTTCTGTCAGTTACTTCCTTACTCTGAAAACTTGTAACAAAGAACCCAAGGGCTGAGTTTCCTCATGTTCAAAGGCTGACTTGATTTTATTCAAGTTTTAAAACAGCATTAAGCTGTCAAACTGAAGACATAACATGGCCTTTTTTTTTCTTTCTTTTTTTTTTAATGATTAGGGAAATAATTCTTATCCCTTTAATTTAGTCTTTTGCTTTTTATAACTTTTAAAAATTATCCTAGTTTACTGCTGACATTTTTTTAAAGATTTAATTATTTATTATGTATATACTGTTCTGCCTGCATGTATGCCTGCACATCAGAAGAGGGCACCAGATCTCATTACAGATGGTTGTGAGCCACCACGTGGTTGCTGGGAATTGAAATCAGGACCTCTAGTAAGAGCAACCAGTGCTCTTAACCTCTGAGCCATCTCTCCAGCTGACTTTTGAAGATTGAGATGGGTGCTGCATTTGACATGCAATAATCAAACTTAACCCTGCTCCTAACCCTCCCTGTCAAACGCAGCACAGAGCTACACTTGCACTCAGCCCTTGGTTTATTGTTTATTTATTTTTAAAAATGACATTCAGTTTGAAGCTCTTAAAAGAACATCTATGTCTTCACTCTAGGCAATGGAAGGATTCTTAATGCTAACACATCCTGGTCTTGGAAGAAACATTTAACTGGGAGGGAAAAGAAAGAAAGAAAGAAAGAAAGAAAGAAAGAAAGAAAGAAAGAAAGAAAGAAAG